GGCCTATTGAGAGAGGTGGAAAAGGCTATACCATGTGTAGTGAGTTGGGTTACACAAGCATGGCATTTGCCATCACCACATTGCCACTACACTTTATGACACAAACATTTAAAGAGACCACAGCAGAAAGAATGCTGTGGTGTTTAGAGTATGCAGCTTAGTGGAAACACTAAAGAAACTGAGTTTGTTTCATCTAGGAAAGAGAGACTGGCCTGGGAACATGGTAACAGTGCCTATGCACAACACTATTAAGCCTAATATATAAGGCAACCTGGTATTTGTGTGACATGTTGAAAAAAAATGGATGAGGAAGCTGGAAACATTATATCATTAACAAACAAATGGTATCAGGAAAGGAAATGGGATGCGATTTTTTTTTTAACATTTGCATTAATAATCTCAGGTGTTATTCAGAACACTGCCAACAAGCATTTTTCCCCCTCAGCTAAGTACCTCTAACCTACGTGAATGCCATGTTATCTATTACAGTGGCAAGAAGCAAATCCGCATGTTATGATCCTGCTGAATAAGACATTTTCAAAGCAAAGTAGTACCTGGAGGGACTCTTGACACACGAGTATAGCTGTCACTGTAAATCAGTTTGAAACAAAATCCATCCGTCTTCCAAGATGATGTAAAGTCAATCTGTCTGTGGATTGAGTCTGAACAGCATCCTGGATTCTGCCTACATTTTGTCAACCTAGGAAAGTTTTGAAATGTAGTTTGAGTCAGCATCCAAACTGGCCTCCAAACTCATTGATCTATATTGACCCACGTGAAGCAGCTAAGGAGGCTCCAATCACATCTAAGCTGATGTTCCTATTGTAACAGAAGCTGATCAATATAAATAAGATGCAGATAATGGCCTGGAATTTCCTCAAGCAGACAGCAGTAACTTTAGGCCAATGCTGAAAGGGGACAGGCTGAGCTGGAAGCTGGAGGTGCAATTCTCTCTATCCTAGTACCAGCCTCTTTCAGCTGTGCTATGTCCCTCCATGGGTCTTCTGATTCTTAAGCAACTTCCAGCTCTCAGTAACAGTCTCTAAGCCAGAGTTAGTTATTGCAGAGGAAATGAAGTAGAGATAAGATTTAAGAAAATGCTCTGTTTCCTCCATATATTAAGTTTTTGTATTATGATTCCCTATTATTATCTGCACTCTGCTAATTAGCCTGAGAACCAGTCCAGAATCAAAGTAAAAAGATAGGTGGAAAAAGAGCCCCAAAGAGCTCACAGTGTAAAATAACCATTTAAAACATAATGAAGTATCTCCTTCAAAATAGTATCACTTGTACAGAGCCAGGTACCATGGAGTCCTGAGCCCAGCAGAAGTGTTTAGCACAGAAGGGAGCTGGGGGAAAGGTGGATGTGTGGAGCAAAGGAGGAAGAGAAGGAAAGGAGGGCAGGAACTGGTGAAAAGCAGAAAGAAGGCAATAGGTCAAGAGCTGGAAAGGAGAGGAGAGAAAGCACGTCCTGCTCAGGCAAGTGTCTGTAACCAGACCCCGGGGCACATCGCTGAGGTTTTACATGCGTTAAATTTAGTACCAAACACCCTGATCAGCAGAACAGGTTCCCAGAGGAGATGCAGTTGGACTCAAGGGAGGTTGCATCATGCTTAAAACAGGCAGAGCCAAGTGGCTAGCCATGCCGATTGGGGGCGCGGCAGGGGAGCAGTCTTCTTACTGGCTCTTCTCTCCCGGGCCAGACCCAGCCCCCAAGAGCGAGACAGCAGCTTCCCCACTGGCAGATGGTCAAAAGATCTACTAGGAGGAAGAGAAATGGGCCAGGTGACACCCACACGGTCTGACTGGTGCTGATCAGGGGAACTGCCATGCTGGACACACTGTATGGTCTGTGTCACTGGGCCCGATGGGGGCTGATGTCAACTGCTGCCAAGCACAAACATAACACATCTGCAAGGACAGGGACTTTCTCTGAGGGTCACGCAGTCAAGTGTCACAGCTCGAGTCCAAAGCAGGGTTGGGTGTGACATAGGGTGGGGACCAGAGTAGCCAATTGGGGTGCTGGAGGGGGAAGATCAGAGCCCTCTTTGCCAGGAGGGAGGGGTAAAGGTTTGGTAAAAGGAAAGGGTTATAATGCTTGTCACTGGGGAAAGGGGATGCAACTTGTCATTTCCCCCCAAAATTCTATACCTGCCTGGTCAGACACTCTTGCCAGAGTGACTTGGCAGCCAAAAAAGGTACAGACTTTCACAATGAGACACGGGGTGAACTGAGATCTCGGGTCTGGGTGGAGTCTACCCATGGCACCAGACAATTCCCAGCTCCACCCTTCTCTGCACCCGCTTGCTCCCCCCCACCTCCAAAAGCATCTCACTGCAGAATGCCTCATTCAGGAGCTCCACGGTGATCTCTCCCTGCTCCCGGACAACTGGCTAGGGATACTGTTGGAATAACACAATATGATCCAAGGGGCTGAGCACTACTGCCCCTGCCCTCCACAGGAAGAGTGAACACCAACGCTCTCTCTTGGCAGTGCACCGTACAATCTGCTGGCTGCTGAGCCAGGACAGAGTGAACACTCTGAACAGCCTGGTTCACTGCGCTGCCTGTGGGCTGGTTTCCCACCTACGGGTCCAAGCTCATCTATTAGTGACATCTGCATATGTAAGGGGGAAAAAGCAGGGCGTGGGGCAAGGAAATGGCAGCTATTCAGTTTACCTGATGAACTCTGAAGCCCTGCAGACCTGGTTCCACTATGAACGAGCCAATACCAAAGGAATTATACGATTTCAGCTGAGATCCTCCTGACTCTCAGCAACAAGGCAACAGGAGAATCATGCCTTTACACCTGACTCAAGTAAGGCTCTTCTTGCACAGAAACAGCATAAGGGCATGAGGATTTCAACACAGGCCTGAGGGTACAAACACTGACTGTGCCAGTGAAATACCAGCCAGCTGGCAATCCCATTTAAACATCATAAACTGATGTCATGCTGGTCCCAAAGATATTTTAGGTTCCTTCTAGGACTGCATTTAAAAATAAGACAGTGCCCCACATGTGTGGAACCACACTCAGCAAGACGCTAGGAGGCAAAGCTCTGAGAAAAGAACCAAATTCAGCACAACACTTGAGCTAAAAAACACCCAAAGTAGCAATAATAGCCTGTATCCTGCACAGAAGCAATGCTGCCTGATGGGACCCGTTCCCCACGTACCAAATGGCTGACAACCAGCACGTGCAGTATTTGAATAGGGATTAAGGTACTGTCATCAGGCTTCAGCCAAGTAACTTTCTGGTCCCTAAGCAAGTGCTTTTTGCAATCTACATAAATGTCTTTACCCTTATCCTTGGAAGTATAGATTCTTATACCAGCACCCTCATCACATAGCATCTGAGCAACTTGTTGTGCAGGAAGGGACAGGACTCATCTGTGGTATGAAACACGCAGGAGCTTGTTGTGTGGGTTTATCAGATGTTTGTAATTGCTCAGCATTCCTATTAAAAGAAGGTAGATCAAAAATTGCACTTTTTACATCCAAGTGGATTGGGATGGTCCTTGTTTTTTCTCAGGGAATTGGATCTACAGTCCCTAAGCAGCCCCTAAGAAAGCTCTAGTCTCCAGACATGTTTTATCCTTGCAGCAGAAAGATCCGTTATGCTGGAGAAAAAGGACCGTTGACTAGTCTCCATCCTGGAGTTTCCAGGAAACACCAAGACTTGCTGCGCTTAGGCTGCTGAAAACCCTGAAGGCGGCTCAATACTTGTAAAGGAAGCCAGTGCAGAAAGCAGAAGGGAGCACGAGCAAGATGAGCTCCCCATAGTCCGCACTCCTTGGCAGATGCTCCGTGGTATGCTGGACTAGCTGGCATTTCCTGAAGGCAGATGTCTTCCTGCCGAGGTCAAGTGCACAGCTGTCGTCCAGATGGGAGCATGCAGGTGACCAACGTCTGCCTAACCCAGGCCCAGTCATCAGAAAGCAGGACTTGCAGAGAAAGTCTCACCCACACCAAGAGCTCTCCAAGCCCACGAGCTGAGCTACCTCACAGCAGGCAGATGTTTTCCACTGCCGGCAGCTGCACTGGATCAAACCTGCCTCTGGAAGTGCTTCCCCCTGCCTGGTAGAGGAGCCCCGCTACAATCAAGATGGAGGGGTGGGGGCTTCTTGCCCAAGAAGACACCCCCACCTCCACCCCAGGGCTGGGGGCAGACAGGCAAGGAGCAACCACAGCCTGAGATGAGGCTGAATTTGGTTGCTTATTCCCAGTTCCTTTTCCAAAACTAATCTAGACCCACTAAAAGCTTGCTATTAATGAATTACACATCCTAAACAGTGAGCAGTTCATTAGCTATGCATATTTACTAATTAATATGCAAAATAATATGCCGCCTCCGGCCCCTGAGGCAGCCCACACAAGGCCTGGCCCAGCCTAGGCCAGAGGCCTGGGGCTAGGTAAAGTGCGTGTGCATGTCTTCCTGGACAAAAAGCCCCCTCCCCTGAAGGACACCCGCTGCTGATGACCCCCTATTTACACCCCTTTCAGCTAAGCCCCACAACCCCCTCCCCTTTGCCTTCTGCCCTTTAACCTCTACCCCTTCACCCCCCACTCCACTCGCCTCAGCGCAAGCCCCACCCCCACACCAGACTCCCTTAGCTTGCCTGTGAAAA